TGCGTATAGCAATGTCTCATAAACAGCCATGGAGTGAATGACCAATTTTAGTTGGGGAATTGTTGGCCAGGACAATGAGAATTAGAAACTCCCTTTTCTTTTGGAATGGTGCCACAGGATCTTTAACATTTACCTAAACAGGTAGACAGAATTTCGGTTTAACATCTCAATCAAAGAATGGCAACAATGAAGCACACCCCCAATGCATTGTAAGCTTAGACTACATGAATCCAAGTCCCAACGTGAGAATTGAACCCACAACCTTCTGACTCAGAGGCATGAGCGCTCCCAGCTGAGCCAGGCTAACATAATGCTTCCAGTGTTTAATCCTTGAGTTTGTAAATGTAAACTGCAACTGTGCAAATCCCTGCTGTCTGCCCTTTAATTATGAGCTCAGTTGGTTCTTAGCCATTTGGGTTTTCAGGGCCAAGTGGAAACTTTGAATTGGCAGTAAATTTCCTGGTACCCAATGAATGTTACGCTTGACATTATATCCACATGGTTGCCAATGGCAAAGAGAAATGTAGCCCACCGCTGTTTCTTTTCTGATGTACAAGGGAACATCAGTTATATATTTCCTCCCAAACTGCCTTCCTGTTATAAGATCACGACACCAGTTCAGATGAAAGCCCTTCAGTCCATCTGATGTCAAAGCTCCAGAACACCCATCCTACCGTCCTCCCCTCACAGCTTCAAGTTGTTTTATAAATGAGTCCAGTCTCCTGTCCTCAACCACCCTTCCTGATAAACCCGATTCAGTTGTTAATTACCCATTGGGTAAAGAAATACTTCTTGGTGTCTGTCCAGAAATTGTCTTTTGAAAATCTACGTGTCCTCTTGTTCTATTGCCTAGTGTATCCTACAGTATGATTCTGGGTTAACTTTTTCAATCCCAATTAAATTGTTATACACCTCTATAAAGTGTATCTGAGTCATCTGATCAAGACTAAAGACCTCTAGCTTGCCTTATTGCTGCTCCTAGTTCAGTTCTCGTTCTGTGCTCAGCAACCTTGGCTCTCAGCTGCCCTGGATGGGAAGGCAATTGGAGTGGGAGCTGCAAATTAGCCGAAAGTTGTCTTGGATATTTGATCAGAGGAATGTCATAGGCATACAAAAGCAATTGTATGTCAGCTGGCAGAGTGGTAGTGCTCTAGCCTCTGAGTCAGAAGGTTGTGGGTTCAAGCCCCATGTTAGGACTTGGAATCATATAGTCTAATCTGACACTCCAATGCATTGCTGGGGTATTTTGCATTGTCAGAGGAGCCATCCTTCAGATGAGATGTTAAACCGAGGTCCCATCTGCCTGTTCAGGTGGACGCTGAAGATCCCATGGTACTATTCGAAAAGAGAAGGGTGTAGTTAGCATCGGTCGCAGGTCCTGATTCCTGTGCAGAGGTAAATTTTGCATCAGGTCCAGGTTACCACATATAGGTGAATTTTGGCATTGCTGAAGTTCCTGAATGCTGTGTAGAATTTATTTCCAGTCCAGGTAGTTAGCGTCATGCGTACATCCTGATTGCTGTCTGCTTGGGTTCTGTGTAGTTGCCATAGATTATCCTCTATAGCATAGGGGTGCAGTAGGACAGACTCCATTAATTGAATGTAAATTTGTCCCTCTGAGTGTGTGTTTGTGTGCATGTGTGTGTCTGTGTGAGTGCGCGTGTGTGTGCATGTGTATGTCTGCATGCATCTGTGCATATGTGCGCGTGTGCGCATGCGTATGCGTGCACCTGAGTGTGTGTGTGTGTGTGTTTGTGTATGTGCAAATGTGTATGTGCACATGTGTGCACGTGTGTTTGCATGCACACATGTGTGTGTAACAATACCATAATGGAATTTGAAATAATAAATAATGGAACTTTATGGATGAAAAATTAAATTGTTCATTCAAATTTTGGGTTATTCTTAAACTCTCTGGCAAAACTTACAATGCGGTAGAGAATCTGTTCATAGGAACTCAGTGGCCACAGAGAGGTTACAGTGCACAATAACACCATAGGAATCACCTGCCATTTGGATCAGCAGATTGCACCACAATTTAACCAGTTTTCTGTTCAAAGTCTGTTCGTTTGGCTCAGCTGGTAGGATTCTCAGCTTCACAGCAGAAAGCTACAAACTCAGGCTTTACAACAGACTTCAGCTCATAAAACCCATGGGCTTGTAGTTTAAAAGAGTTCCTTTACTTGTACTTTGACTGCTTGGTATTCCACTTCCTTAATATTTCCTTGTTTTACTCCAACTCCAGTCAGAGAAAACAACAGGAGTAGAAAGTGAACCTCGTGGCCAGGCGAGCACAGAGAGAAGGAGATTGGCCATATTTCTTCTAGTCCAGAGCAGACTCAGGGTAGGATAGGGACAGGTACCACTGGCTCAGCTTCTAGGTTTTGCTTTCCAGTCTCTGCAGTTTCTTTTTCTATAATAATAATACTAATAATGCTTGCTTTTGATACAATGCCTTATCACGTTGTTGAGATGTCTCAAAGAGCTTCACAACATATGTTGTAAAGTGGATTGACTGTGTATTTTTTGGGTGAAACATGGCAGCCAATTGCGTAAAGCAGTATCCCACAAACAGTCATGGATTGAGTGACCACATATTTTTTGAGGGGAGAGACTATTCCCCTGGAAAGGGATCCACCAATTGGGTAAAAACCGGGTTCCTACTTACTCCTAGGTAAATAGAGGCATGTGGAGTAAGAAAACTTGCTTAAGATTTTGTCCCACCTGGGAATCAAACCCAGGTCCTCTTGCTTGCACTACACGACTCCACAGCCAGTATTTTTGCTTGGCTATTGTTGCTTCCAGTGTATTTTTACTATTTTTTTCTGACCGCATAGTACTAGCCTGAATATGTTTTGTAAGTTATGTTTGGGCTCGTGCTACTTTATGTCACATACTTTGTGCCTTTTTGCACCACATCTGTGCTGAGCATCTTCACTCAGTTCAAGCTCTTCAGTGCTGCCATTGTGCTTAGGCACTTTCTGTTGAAGGAGCAAATGTCTTCAGGATTTGTCTCTGAAAATACAATAGTATTCGGTAGAGGGTATCAGACTTCAAATGCAACAGTATCAGAGCAAAGCTCTCTCCACCCATGTGCTTAATAGGAACATGTCAAGTGCAAGGATTATTATTGATAAGTGTATGATTTACAGAATGTGATCTTCAGTGTAGAAGGAAACTATGATTAAACCAGCTAGGATCAAATCCATCTGGGAAAAGTCATTGGAACAGAAAACAACAACAAGATTACACTTGTATAGCGCCTTTCACGTCAGGAGGACGTCCCAAGGCGCTGGTTAGAGTACAGCATTTCAGACCCGAGCTGATTCAATGAGACAAGTCATTGAATTAGGGTAGAAACTTTAGGCAAGCTTTCTTACAACACATGCTTCTGTTTACCTAGTAGTAAGTAGGAACCCGATTGTTAGTCAATTGGCAGAGTGCTTTCTGGGGTAATAATCCCTTCAAAAAAAATTGGGTCACTCGGTCCATGACGGTTTGTGGGACACCACTGTGCTCAATTGACTGCCGCATTTTGCCCACAAAATATACATTTAATCGACTTTACAATATATTGTGTGTAGCACTTTGAGACATCTCAATGATGGGATAAGGCACTATATCAAGGATTATTATTATATAAATTAATTTCAACGGGGTATAAAAGATAAAAAGGGAACAAGACATTGCATACCTGAGATTCACAGCTTCCCATTACTGTACATCCTCTGTAAAGTATAAAAGATTCTGCAAATGCAATAGAATAGTGAATCCAGTGGGTGAAAAATTTGATTTGGATTAAATTCCAAGGTCACAAGAGAGGTTTGGATAAGGAAAGTCTTTCAGTTCAGAATACTCATACTATTGTTTTCCTACTATACCAACAGGTATTTCTTACATTGAGTTCAGCATCTTGGCTTCAACCACCCAATCAAGCTATTAATTACCCTCTGTATACTCTGTACAAAAAATAGTTCCTGCTAACTCATCAAATTGCTCTCAACAACCCTGAATCTGTGCACTTTTCTCCCAATGTATCTGTTTGGAGTTTTCTTTCCTCTATCCAATTTGGCATCTTGCATATCTCTGGCTCAAGGTTTAATTGTTAGATTTTGTGTTCTGTTCGACTTTATTTCAAGCCTCACTGTTCTTCAAATCCCACTGGCCATGACGAGATCTGCCTTGCCCAATGTCTGCAACCTCATCTGGCTCCGCCATGCCTCACCCCTCAGGCTGCCGAGACCCTCATCCATGCATTCATCACATCCACGCTCAATTATGCTAACTCCCTGCTTTCCAATCTTTCCAACTCTTCCGTGATGCAGATTATTCAGAACTTTACAGCTCATGTCCTCTCCCGGACCACACTCTGTGAACCCATCAACATCCCCCCACCCCGCCCCCTCCCAGTTCCACTAGCTCCCCATCCCCAGAGAATATTCAAAATCCTCATCCTTGCTTTCAAAGCCCTCCACAGCCTTGTTCCCCCCTATCTCTGTGACCTTCTAACCCCAAACTGGCATGACCACTCCCTCCACTCGGCGGACTCTGGCCTACTCCACGTTGTCCGACCTGCCTGCCCCACCATCAGCAGTCAGGCCTTCAGCATTGGCTACATCTGGGGTAAGGTACGGTCGGAGTCGGTGGAGTTGGAGGAAGGCAGTCGTGGTCAGGGACCGGATGTGGGGAAAGAAGGACAGCTATGGGTCAAACTTAGGTTGCACACTGGTTCGGTAAGTCTGAGGGATAGCCAGGGGAGCTTGAGAAGGTCAGAGCCGCAGGATAGAAGATGAGTCAATGAGTATGGCTTCCATCTAGTCAATATTTAATTGTAGGGAGTTTGATGTCCACAAGACAAGCTGAGAGAGCATTGGCAGACTTGAAGTTGCAGCAGGAGGAGGAGAAGTAGATTTCT